AGGCATAGCCCCCCAAGGCTGAGCTGAACATGGACGTATAGAGGCAAGCTTGACGGGCAGCGACACCATCACCTGCAGCCTCCCACATCCCGCAAGGCTGTCCACAGAGAAGTTGTTCGTTCGGCATGCGGCATTGTTCATCACAGGCAGTAGCCATGACTTCTTCGCGCAACTTCAAGGATCAGGGCGAATTGACCGGAGCCTCCATAACAATGTTGAAAGGCAAGGTATGGGAGTTGAAGAAGATGCTCGCGCTTGGTGAGCCTGAAGCGCCCCACCAAGCTGCGCACAGATGCTACACCACCAGGCAAGAGCGAGCGTCGCCACAGCACGCTCGACAAAGGCAAGCCCAACGAAGGCTCCGGCCATGCAACCGTCTTATCTCTTAACAAACGCGCAAATATTACGTCGGCTGACACAGATCATCGACTCACCTCATCGACGTAGGTTCTCGCCACACTGACAGTGCTCCAACCCTTAGCTCCGACTTCTCATGCGAGCCATTTCCCCAAATACAGCATGCGACCCATCAGCCTCGTACCACCTACTCAGACGATGTCGCAAACACCGCGCCGGCTAATCGAACGCAAGAACACGCATCTCCGCTGTCAGCCCGTTAGCCTCGTGCTACATAGCGAACACCTGGGTCCCTATTAGAGCCGAGGAGAACAGAAGGCGGCAATGGGTTCTAGATCGTTGCGCAAGCGGACGCTTGACGCGCCACATAGGATTCACAGCTTTTGGTTTGATTCAAATTCGCAGACTGCTGGAAGCACGCATATAGCTGGAGATCTCAGGTGGTGAAGCCGCTGCCATAACGTGCACTCTGCATTGAGTCTCGCGTGCGCTTTCCAGCGATCACAATGTGGAACGCGGATTGAAACCCAGTGACAAAGGTTCAGGTATGCTATTCCACTAAACATATAACTCCACAGCATTGAGTGCGAAATAGCAAGTCTATGCATTGCAGTAACATCTATTGACATCGGCAGTTCCATACATTGAGTATTCCCTTCTTACACATCGTTCTGACCAGATAATTAGACTGTAGAGGTCTCGTGCTTAGTAGTGAGGTTCTCGAGAGGAATCTCGATATGCTTGTCAGCGAGGTTCATGTCGCCGGCGAAGGTGCTGTGGGGCTTCCAGTTACGGGAGGTGCGAGGGGTGCTCTCCTCCAACATCTTGTCGACTTGCTCAAGCGTAAGACCCTTAGTTTCCGGAACAAAGAAGTAGGCGAAAAGGACTGTTTATGGATTAGCAAAAGGCTCCATGTGGCTGCAAGGAAAACGGAAAACTTACATGAAACGCAGCAGAGCGAGCCCCACAGGAAGAAGACATTTGATCCCATACGAGCGGAATCATCGCGGTCAGCAACAAGGTAAGGCGTGATGATGCCGATAATGCAGTTCCAGAACCAGTTGCTAGCCGTGGACAGACCGACGCCACGAGATCGAATAGTCAAAGGAAAGATTTCGCCGATCACAATCCAGGCGCACGGTCCCCATGTGGTAGCGAAGACGGAGATGTTCAGGCAAATGAATGCGATCATGGCTCTGGTAGCATTCGGGTTGGCAGGATGGTCAGCAGTGTTTCTACCAGCGGTGGCTCCGATAGCTCCGACGATGAACTGCATGATGACCATGCCAGCAGCTCCAAAAACCAGGAGAGGGCGTCTGCCAATCTTCTCGACCATGACGAACGAGGCCGGGGTGGACAGCACGTTGACAAGAGTTGTGACGAGAGAGATGAGGAAAGGGTTGCTGATGGAGCCGAGTTGCTGGAAGAAGACTGGGCCGAAGTAAAAGATGAAGTTGATACCAGTCAGCTGCTGCATAGCCTGCATGAAGATGCCAATCGTAGTGCGACGGGCGTTGGACGAGGGCTGAGAGAGCTTTCCCTTGAAGCAAGCCATCCATGAACCGAGATAGCTACCCTGGGGAACAACGGACATTTCGTATTCGTGATTAGCAAGAATCTCAGCTAGTTCATCCTGGATATATTCGGAGTCAAGAGGTTGGCCACGGACACGGCCAAGTGCGGCGGCAGCCTTATCGAGCTTGCCCTTCTTGACCCAGTAACGAGGGGACTCAGGGAGGAGAGCGAGACCGATGGCGAGAATGATAGCCCACAGGAACTGTACAGCGATTGGAATTCGATAGGAGCCAGTATCGCGTCTGTTCTGAGTGGCATATACAACGCAGTTGGCGAGTAAGATACCGATGGTAATGCAGAACTGGTAGCCTATCAAAGTCAGGGTGTATACATGCAGGTCATGTGGATAGTACTTACCAGCGACTACAGCACCGCGGACCTTCTTGGGTGCGATCTCAGACATATAGAGAATGACAATGGATGAGATGAAACCCACACCGAAACCGGCGATAAGTCGACCAGCAACCATGACACCAAGCCCGGTAGAGGCTGTCTCAAGGATACCTCCGACAATGAAGATACCACATCCCATGATGATTGTGAAACGACGTCCGATAAAGTCAGCAATATCACCGGCCATGATGGCACCGAAGAAGGTACTGTGTTCTGTTAGCATTCACTGATAACACTATTGGTCTTTTCTCACATACCCGGCAGAGAGAATGGATGTGACGAGTGATTGCTGCCATGGGACTACCACGAATGTAGAGTTGCGATAGTCTTTGATGGTCTGGCTGGTGGAGTCAAGGCCCGGATATACGACGTCGGGGTATTCAGCTCCAGTGTATTGCTTTATGAAGTAGTCCATGTTGAGGACTCCACCCATCCAACCAGTGTCATATCCAAAGAATATTCCTCCGAACGCAGCGAATGCGACGATCAGATAGGCTCGAACGGTGACAGGAGCCTCGACCCGATTGAGGTCATGCGTCCCTGTGAGGGTAACACCACCTCCTGGCATTGTCGCTGTTTACTCTGAGATTACTTGAACAAGAGGTAGTTATGATGAAAGGCGCTTTGCGCAGCGTTGAGGAAGCAGAAGCTGGGAGGTCTGCGGGGCGCAATCGACAGTGGAATACCCCAGCTTTTAACATCGCATCCTGAACAGCGGTGATGCTGCAGTGCGGTGCGTGTGTGGCTTTCTATGGTAGCATTGCAATTTCTTACACTAGGCCTGACCAGGTGACTACTCCGCACTTGACACTTCTGGAAGGATTGGTCCCATTCTTCATGGGCCGTTTGTGTCTGCGAACGGCTAGTAGAATGTGTATGTCCGCATGTACTGTTGGCATGCGACCGTGTGACCTGTCATCGATCAACCCACGCTATTGCAGAGTTTCCGTAAAGACAGCTGCGCTTAAGCTCTGGACAACTATCGATCCGATGTAGACGACCGGATATGTCGCTAGTTCAGGCAGTACAACAGTTGACCCGGATATAGATCGCCTGGTAGAGGCGCCAAAACCTGGGGGCCAAGCTCACTCAAGCTCGCTGTGAAGCCCGTCTTGGCGGTCAAGCCCTGCATATTCATCCCAGTAGACGTTGGCTATCACTTACATGGGGAAGAAACAGGCTGCGAAATGCATGTGAATGGGCACTAGTGGACGCCTCCTCGGCCAAGAGCTCTCATCGTTCCATCGATCTGGGGTAATGTTTGGTGCCCAATACACTCTGTTGATCTCCACAAACAGTACGAGTAATATGCGACTGTGCACATCGAATCAACTTGTCCTTGTGATGGCTGTGGTTTGTTGGCGGAGTCCTTGCGCGTCGACACCTGATCGTCTCTTTCTTCTTTGTCCAACAGACCACGATCTACAGTATCTCGCTTACTCGACTTCGGGCATGTTAATGTCCATCACAGACGTTTTGGTAAGTATATGGGCGTAGCAGACGTGTCCGCTTCAACGGTCACCCCTTGTGATGGGTCGAGAACCTCCTCTAGCATATGCATGCGCATGTTGATTCGTTCGCGTAGACGAAGGAATGGTAACGATTGGAAGATCACCAATGAACAGGACGGGCCCGAAAGTTGGTGTGCCTCGTACATATCGCATGCCTGTCTTGCCGCCCATAGGTCAGCTTTCGGAACATCAAAGGCAACTGAAGGATCACGCTCACTCCCCAAGTGTGTTTATCCAGGAAATTGGGATAATCAACGATACTGGTGGCGCGTCTCGCTTTGTTGTCACCTTACCTTTTTTGCGAGCCACAGCCGTGCGGCGGATCTGGAGAACCCTGTCGCAGGTAAGCAGCCACAGACTGTAGAGACCGGAGAGGAGATGAGCGAATAAGCAAAGAACGGCTGGTATCCCTCAGGCATGCTACCGGATACCTTCCTAAATAACATCGCAGTGGCACCCCGCTCTCGAAGGCGTTCACGGATCCCGTGAAGCGATGCTACCTAGGTACTTTGCGACGCCTCCTGGTATCACGCAACAACGGATGTCACCAATCGTCCCGCTAGCCACTAGCATCATCAAACGCTTTACATCTAGTCCGTGATCAGAGACGACTTGAAAGTTGGGCGATTCGGATTGGAGACTGGTGGACAACGGTCCAACGAGAACCAACGGCGGAAGGGCTTCTCGAAAACGGCGCGCTGTCCCGGACAGGTGGTGTGCATGGACTATGCGCATGTCGAGTTGCGAAGGACGGCGTGCATGCAGGCTATGCGCGTGGATGTGCTTCTCATAGAAATGTAGCCGGAAGCAGGCATCCTTGAACCGCTTTTCTGTCTCCGCGGGTCCTTCAGTCAAAGGTCGAGCAGCTCCTGTGCGCAACTATTCCTAGCGCCGACTAGCGTAGTGGGCCTGATTCTGCGGGGCGTACTTTGATCCTACTCTATCACGTCTATGTACGAAGCGAACAAGCATTAGAAGACTCACTGTACGCGACAGCATTCTTTCAAATGATCAAAGTAGTAATTTACATTGCGCTGATTTTATTCTTTCCAGCAACCCTGAAATGCCCTAAGTCTGCTCTACCAGCGACGGACTTGGCGCGCATGTCTCTCAATTCGACAGAACTAAAGAGCTCCCAGCGACTGAGATCGGTAATCCAATGTTCTAATTCTCCTCAATATCTTCGTGGTACGTAGCAATACCCTTCTTCGCCGGTATGTTACCCAGATTCTCGACGCGGGCCTTCTGAATCGATTCGCCTAGGTCTTTCGCGAAGTCTTTGTGGAACTTTGGGAATTGGTCGAAAATGCATGTAATTGAAACAGCAGTCCACAGGTCAGTGACGAAACGTCTGGCGGGACTGTTTGAAGGTGTACCTTCATAGATCGCTTTGGTCGTATTTGCGCTTGGGACAAACCACTTACCTCGAGGGCCTTTCAAGCGGGTGGCAGCCAGTGATGCTGAAAGCATGGCATTCTTAGTTGCGACATCTTGGAACTTCTCTGCAAGGATAAACACGCTGAAGATAGCATGATGTTTCTCTTGAAGGTACTTCTTGAGGTCTCCGTCTTCAAGCTTTTTCAACTCTTCTGCGGTCTTGCTTGCGACCGGGAACTCACCAGTGTAGACATAGCTGATATAGAGGGCGAAGATGTCGGGTTCGTCTTCGGGTAGGTTGATGATCCGTGTCGTTGCCTCTGTCCATCTGCCGTTCATAGCGCGCCGGAAGAATTCTGAACGTGAGGTGAGGAAAGACTCATGTGCAATGAAGTCCTCAACGTTTGGAGCCTTTCCCACGCGGATAGTAATTGCCGAGGTTGACTTGAAGCTATATGTACTGTTAGTTTCGCAATTGCTTGCAGCATGAACTCGCGTTGTCGTCTTACCTCCCGGTGCTTGGCCTGTTGGCTTGACTTGCTTGGGGGGTGGCCATGATAATGCGGACCGCCTCGGGTGTTGTTTGGTAGCTTGCAGTGGCAGAGTTGAAGGTTCTGCTGGATAGATCTAGCTGCGAATATTACTGGTGGTCCATGCGCAATAGCGACCAGTGGGGAAGGTGAGGGTGAGAGTAAGTCAAAACCTCAGTACCAACTGACGATACCCCGCTATCCCAGCGTTAGCAAGTACATACTAGTGATATGGAATAGAAGGATTTCGTTGTGTTGCTAATAGAGGTTGTCTTTACATATCCCGCTGATGGCGAAAAGCGGTAGTGAACTGCCTAGATGTCGCAGTAAAAGACGAGCTCATGAGCGGTCGGCGATGTCATTAACACGGTGGTGAGCTGTCATACCGAGTGCTTTCCGTCGTGTACCTACCTAGGTAGGTACCTGGGTAGTTACCAAAAAGGCCCGCTTCTTATAATGTGGCGTGAAGGGCATCGAGGAACATATTTTGGACTTCCAGATCCTTGCATATGTAAGTGAAGAGGCAGGGTCTGTAGAGGTGATCCTACTCCGCATTGTTGTGGCACACGCCCAGGGTCTTAGGCTCACTGAAAATATGACCCGTGAAGACCAGCTTGATACAGAGAAGAGGTGTAGAGCTGCGCTTCCTCGGTGAGGTATAGTGGCAGTGATGTTGTCAGGTAGGTAGCTAGGATATCATGCGTGTCCACTTGAGAGCTGGCCTAGCGAATGTCGCGAAGGTGTCCGAAGTAGCTCGTCTTCTTTTTTGAGATGCTCATAGTAATATCACCGGGACCTTCGGAAGACATATGAGACACGACCGGAGCTCTTTTGGAGCGGTGTAGGAAGTCGCAGGTCGGCGTTCATGTAGATTCTGCCCGTTAGCCGGCACCCGGGAGGGATGAGAACATCGGGCAGAGCCGGTTATCTTATCAGAGACCCACATACCCCTCACATGACTCGCAGCATTCACGCGTCAGATCAAAACAACGCGTCACATTCACCAAGTTCAGAGACGCGTAACGTTTGAAGTATGTGTTGATTTCAATTGCTTGAGACGATAGCATCACGTCGTTAGCTAGCCTCCCATAACGCCAGATTGCGACGCTGAAGAGAACAATGACAGTAGAGTAGACATCCATCCGCAGTGACAGACACGCGCCAGAACGCCCGGCCAACATGATATATCCCAGGTAAGAAAATCAGGGACGAACACCGTAGGCCTGCCTCGCCATATCCGCCGGTGGCCGAACCACGCCCACCTGTAAAACCCATAGACTAGTAGTGTGACAAAGGGAATACGTGAAGAAGATGTCGTCTAGCGTACGCTCCGAAGCTAACGCACGGTAAAATAAAAAAGGTCAACAAGAACAAAGAAGCTTAAGCTGAAACAGCTCATGCCTTGGCCTTTGGTGTTGCCTTCTTGGGCGTCGCCTTCTTCTTGGGTGTGGTGGCCTTCTTCGCTGCGGCGGTCTTCTTTGCTGCTGGTGCCTTCTTGGTTGCCTTGGTTGCGGCGGCGGGAGCCTTGGTCTTGGTGACGCGGCCAGACTTGGTCTTTCCGAGCACGCGCGATACCTCCTCCTCGACGGCGGGGGCTGCGGTGGGGGCTGTCTTGCGGGGTTTGCTGGCGTTGGCCTTGGGCTTAGCGGCAGGGGCAGCCTTGGTAGCAGCGGCGGTGGCAGTGGCCTTCTTCGGGCGGCCGACAGCCTTCTTGGGAGCAGCAGCCTTGGTGGTGGTGGCCTTGGCCTTCTGTAGAGGAAGTCAGACATGTAGGCTCATGACAGCAGGCAGTTACTTACAGTGGTCGTGGCCTTCTTGGTGGCGGGGGCCTTCTTCTCAGTAGTCTTCTTCTCAGTGACCTTCTTCTCGGCCTTGGGCTCAGACTTCTTGGTAGCGGTGGCAGCAGCAGGCTTGGCCTCCTTCTTCGCAAGCTTTACTGGTCCAGACGTGCCTGCATGACGCGTCAGTAAGGCTCAGATGACTCATGATACATGCGTGTAGGATACACAGCAGCGACATGTGGAAGATGTGTTGTCGCGCAGACTTGGTGGAAAGACACTCACCCTTGGGACGCGCAAAGTCACCCTTCTCCTCGCCGGAAGTAATAGCACGGTTGACGTGACTCCTGAAGGCAGCATCGCTAAGGTTGCCGACCTTGTTGTTGGCTTGGATGTACTTCTGGATAGCTTGACGGCTGTTGGCGCAAAGTCAGCGTGAGTTCTTAGGTACGCGCGCTTTCAGACGAAAGCATGCCGCGACACATGAGCGACGGCATGTGGGGGTTATTAATTTGACTGACCTTGATCCATTTCGTTCCTTGAGCTGTAGCATGCATAGAGCGCGTCAGTAATCATGTTCACTTGAGGGAGTAATGTCATGGAGCGTTATTGTGATTCGCGCTGAAGTTGGCGTTGCGAGCTGTCGCAAGCTGTCGCAAACTCATGTGCAAGGCAACACGCCTGGGATGAACTCACGTTGATGATAGCATCCTTAACCATGTCTAAAAGAGTCAGCATTGACCGGCGACAAAGACGCGACTATCGGGCAACCGACGCGACCGCGTTGGGCTGAGATATCACAGTACATACCGATGTAGGAGCCATGGGCAGGTGCGGCAGCGGCGGCCTTGGCCTTGGAAGGGGTGGTGTTCTTCTTGGGAGGCATTGTTGCTAGTGGTTTGGATGGGAAGATAGACGCGTTACTGATGCTTCGAACGAGAGGGCGAACGTGAAAATCGATGGAAGAATGGTCGTAGTGGGAAGTCTGGAAGTCGCTGAGTTGGGGCAAGCACGCGGCGGGTGGGGTATGCGCCGTTCTTATACTTTTCAGGGATCAGAATCGGCGCCCCCAGATCACCAACTCGAAGGCGCTAATCTTCCAGGCCTGATCAAGATGCGCTTCAGTTTGATCTCATGTTGCAATACTGCCGCCTACGCTGACTAGGCGCCGTGCGGCTGCCGTCCGTTCGATTTGTTGGGGGTCTTTCCTGTCTCCCTGCTGGAAGCGCAGCCCTTCACCCCATCTCCTCCCCTTCGAGTCGCTCTTTTCCTCTTGGTGACGCTTGACCATGGCCAACGCATGCCAGGAGCCTTACCGCAGGCACCTGTGGCCTCGAGCTTCAGTCCTGCCAACAGTCCTTGCTTGTTGTTTCGTCTGGGTCATCTCTGTCAATCCACGATAGCTGTAGCTTGCGCCTTGAAGGACTCGATTTTGCGCAAGCTTCCGCTCCAGTCCTCGAAGCCTAATGCCGAGACGCGTTGCTACATGCTTCCTTTTTCCCTTTTCTCTATGCCAGTCTTGTACTCGATGGAACACTCTATGCTTTATTTTGGCTTGATGGGCCCTCGGCACTCGAGTCTAGTCTTGATGGTTGTGGTTTTGGCGATACATGCGTCGCGTCATCTACCTTCCATGGTGTTTCGCTCTGCGCGCCGACACCTCGAACACGACCCGCCTCCACGCGTACAAATTGGCAAAGCAAAGATATCCTCCTTGTCTTTGGATATTGCGCAACGCGTACATGGATTTTCTGAGCATTCCCTCGAGCGTGTCGGCCAGCATGGTGTTGAATTGATGACGTGTTGCAGTGTGTCGGGCGGGGTGATCACGCGTACAATTCTATCGCTACAATCCTCTTCCGCACAATCTCTCTTGTTACAGCATAATTGATAGCCTTGAGAACCCAAAGCGCATACCTACAGGCCCTCTCTTTGAGTAACAGAACCATCGAACCTATATAGAACGCGTTGTGACTGGCATGCGAACGCGGCGTTGTTGCGCCGCTCTTGGCCAGATGGTGTGTGACAGTCCAACACTGATTGCCAGCAGCCAACATACGGAAAGCCGACATTGGCCACTCGTGGGAAATGTCCTAGAGCAGACGTGAACTGATGTTTATTATACGCTCATATCCATATATATGGTCTTCCGATTATCCTACAGTGCGCGGATGTCTTACCTGGGCACGCTCCATGATCCTGCCAGTAGAGAAGCTACCTACTATAACATCTACGACTAGGGCCGGTTCTTGTGCTTCTACAGATTCTTCTCTCATAATAACAGATACAGCTCTCATTCATATTGCAATGTAGTTATTGGGGAGTTTGAGTTTGTGTGACCGTCAGGTTTTTGAACGTTGCAATTTTGTGTTCGGGTTGTGGGATATTGCAGCACTAAAACCGCCCATGATAGAAATTCAAAAAATGATCACGCCATCACTTACGCCATGGTAGCCGGAAGATACCCAGAAAACTAAATCACCACATCGACAGAGTACATTGCCTTTTCACAGGTTGCAGGAGGCTACATAAGTAGTTCTGAATATACCAAAAGAGTGGACTTGTGCACACCTTCTTTGGAGATGCCAGCATTATACCTACAACCCCAGCGCAGTCAAACTACACTGACAAGCCTTACACGAAGAAAACGGCAATATGAGAAGGGACATTGGAAGGATAGAGCTTAGTACGCAGAATCATGTACATCACACGACATTCAATACCTAGGTATGTCGGAGCCATCGAGAGGCTAACATTAACCACCATTCCGGGTAGTGATGCATTACCATGTCGGAACACAAGGCTTATAGTCAATTCACGAGAAACACAGTGAAATAGAAGGAGCGTACACAGCAACATCGCGAGGAAGTTCGAGCCGTATTGAAGCGAGCCGTCTGCTTCGATGTTACTTTCGTTACTGTCGGGAAGAGCGAAACGAACAGCCGTTTGCCGCGTACAGCGAGGCCGTGAAGACATAATATAGGGACGTAAGAAGGAGATTCGTCGAGCACAAAAGTCGCGGACGTAAAAGGGTGGTGTGGGACGCGCTCGATATCGTATCATTTGGGCTGGTTCGTTTCGGAATCCGCGGGCAGATGGGTTGACGTCTTTGACGCGGAAAGTGATGTGGCAATAGTCTAGATGCGCATCTTGCTAAATGAACATGAAGGTCAGTAATTGCCTCATCACTCCGGATTTGTGGGGTACGACCTGTGCTCTTGTTTGAGAACGATGCTCACCTTTGTGCCATGTGCCATCTCAGTATTAGGTACGCTTGTGAGTCTGATGTGCAGCTCTCGCCAACCTCGAATCGATTTTTGAGCGGACACTGTGATACGGTCTCATTACTTTGAGTACATTGGAAAGGTATTTTCCGAAGACGCGTGGACTCTTGTGTTCAGCTTGATGCACAAATCGCCGTCAGTACCGAGGACTGCTTCGTCGCGAACCCCTTTTCGCTACACCGCCATGCAACGATGCAACCCGAGCAGAACACGAGCAACGACGATTGTCGCCCATCCCAATGTTGTTTCGACCGTGAAGGTCGGTCAAGGAGCGTTCGGTCATGCGATCTATTCTTGTGTCTCGCCTGTCGGCCGGCCAATAGGATCACCTCGGGCTGTTAGCCCGGGTTCAAAATTGGCAGCAGCTAGCCAGCCTCCGTTAATTCATTGCTGGCATCGGCCCGTCGACGTGTCCACCGCTGCGTCACTCACCACACATTCCATTCGACGTTTTGCGCACACGCCACGTTTGCTTGCCGGCATTTCGGAGAATAGGCCTCGCACGACCCTGAGTAGCAGAGACCATCGTGGCGCATGCACTATGCGAGACCAAAATATGGAGCATACGGAAGATTCTATGGGCCAGTGCTTGTGTTCGGATCGAATGTGACCTCATGTTGCTGTATTGTTGGGGTTACTCTCGTACGGCCGCGAGGAGACTATGTACGAGGTCGCTGTGTATATAAGAGCTGGAGTTCTTGCTCTATAGATCATTATCCAACACAAACACATTCAAACATCAAGACTACATCCACCAACCAGCTCACCATCTTCACCCTACACTACTTCCACACCCAACTACAATCAAGATGAAGTTCACCACCGCTGCCATTGCTGCCACCGCCGCCAGCCTCGTCACTGCTCTCCCCACCGACTCCAAGATCAAGGACGGCGATGTCTTCACAATCCAAACCATCCGCTCAGGCAGCGACTTCCAGTACAGCACCTTCCAGGCTGTCCAGAACTCCCTCGTGATCAACGCAGGCCAACAGAACGCTTCCTGCGGTCCAGAACCCCACAACTACGCTTCATTCCAGCTCAGCAACGGCAGCCTCTATCTCTACACTGCCAACCCTCCTCAGCAATTCTTCGTTGACAGGTCTGGCATGGGTCAGGGTGTCATCCAATACACCACCGGTGCTCAACCCATGGTGAAGAACGGAGAAAGGACTACCTTCGCCATCAACGACGACGGAAACCTTGTCTTCCGTGACCAGACTGGCGAGGACATCGAGTTCCAGGCTTGCCAGCCTTCTCTCGGTGGCGGCTACTCCGTCTGGTTGGGCGGTGTTACCCGTCCTGCTGGAGCCGACGAGTGCTACGGCTTCATCGCAAGGGCGATCAAGGAAGAGAACCCCACCAAGTGCCTCTACACCCAGTACCCATAAGGGAACCGCAACGGACACCTTGGCTTCGTCGATCGCGGATCGTAAAGGCTATCTACACTGCAAATATTTGAGCAACATTCTTTTCTTGTAAATACAACACTTAAATAGACAATATCATTCCAACCCAAACAACCCAGATCTTGATGAAAGTGATAATGTCTGCAGTATACATGTTGACCTGCCGCTTCCTGTGGTATGGTGTTGTGGCAGTTTTCCTACAAACCCATCACACAGCTGGATGAGAGAAATGAATCGGTATTGAGGGATAGAGATCCAGCTCATGAACGAAGACTGCGTCATGCTGGGAACTCATCGCCACATTGGACGAACAGAAACCATCGAAGAAGAAAGAGAGAAGATGACGCCCATATCAAAAGCAAAACGAATATGGTGTGGACTTGGATGGGAAAGTGGTGAGGTTCGGACTACGCCGAGCGATCTCCTGCAGGCTAGCGCGCAATGCTGATAAGCCGCAGGGTCCGCTCGTCCCTGGGCTAACGCAATCGTCGTCTTATCGCCAGGCACGCGTTACACGTGCACCCGTCACATTCGCCCTGAGACGCCATCTGACTGGTTCCCGAGCAGCAGATCACCATCATGCCCCAACCGCGGCCCTGCGTGACCTCGCCCGGCGTGATGGCTGATACTGCGCCTTGAGTGGCTATGTCCTCTGTCCCTTTCATCCCCCATAAACACCCATCCCCAGCGCCGTCGTCGGGGTGGCCATAGTACACCTACGCACTACCCTACCTCGCCCCGAACCTGTTACACCAGTCGAATCGTCGAGAAGACATCTCGGGCTCTCCGGTGACGCACCTACGGAAAGCAACCCGGCGGCGACAGACTAGACTAGAGAACCGACCTTCCGCATCGAGCAACAGTGTATTCGCTGCTTGCGAATCAGCGACAGCAACGTGAAGGCGTGTAATCTGAGCTGCCGTTACGGGAGGGATCGATCCGCGAAAGCTTGTGTAGTCTTGTTGCACAGCGCCAAATTATCTCCTCCGTCCTTGCAGTAGTACGAGGCAAGCGGGAACATGCCGGCCATGCTAGACTCGCTGGTGGGAGCCGCGAGGGAGAAGGTACATAACGCCGCGGCTTCCACTGCAGAGATGTTGGCAGCAGAATCAACAGCCATGCCTTCTCTCAAGACCCTCAGCAAGATCGCCCTTGGTGGTGCGCAAGTCATCCTCGGCCATGGAGGACGCGTCATG